ACTATGTCTTACACATGAGAAATATCCCAATTAACAGTATTTTCCCAGAAAACTAGAACAATGATAGGTATCTGTACAAATGCAGTTGGCACTTATTAAAAATTAACAATATCCATCATTACATTTTCAGGATGTCTAAATATTAAGGAGAAGATGTATCTACAAAATGCCAAAAGCTATGATAGCAGCTTAACTTTTGTGATTTCATGATTTATTTAGTCTTTATTACAGTGCTATCCATTTTGTAAGATTTTTTCCTTGTTTATCTTATTAGTACATGTGTGTAATTCATACAGTTTACAATCATCTTGAGGAGTGGTTACATGGACATACCACAACTTGTTTGTTTATTTTAATCCCCTTCCTTCCCCCAACCCCCTCCTCTTATTCCCCAATCATCTTTTTCATACCTGTTGATTATTTGTCTTAGCACATGCTATGACTTATAATATTTACATTGATTAGGATTATTAGGTTCCTGCACATGGTATATCTTTTTTGCACTTTTTTTTTTTTGGTACTGGGGATTGAACTTGGGTCTTTGCACTTTGAGGCAGGCAGTGGAACCACTCAGCTAAATTCCTGGCCACATGGTATATCTTTATTCCTCTCATTTCCCCCTCCCTTCCCTCTTATCCCTCTCCTTGTTCCCTCATAACATTCTCTACTGTGCAAAATCTGTCCCCTTGTCCCTTTCTATTAGTCTTTTTAAAACATTTCTTTGCACTTTGCTTCACTCAAATGAAGGATACCATATGGTATTCAAACTTATGTGTCTGATTTATTTCACTCAACATTATGTTTTCAAGGTGCATCCCTTTTCCTACAAATGCCTCCAATACAGGCTGCTTCCAGGATTTAGCTATTCTGAATTGTGCTGCTATAAACTTTGGTATGCCAGTATTGCAGTAGTATGATGATTTAAGCTCTTTGGGGGAAGGTATCTAGCAGGGGGATAACTGGATCACGTGGAATTTCTAATTGCAGTCCTTTGAGAGATCTCTATACTGATTTCCATAATGGTTGTACTAGCTTGCATCCCCATCAACAATGTAGAAGAGTTCTTCCCACAACTATGCCAGCATTTGTTATTGTTTGATTTCCTAACGATTACTATTCTTTCTGAAGTAAGATGGAATCTTATGTTGTTTTAATTTGCATTTCTCTAATGGCCAGAGATGTTGGACGTTTTTTCATTTATTTGTTGGCTATGTGTATTTCTTCCTCTGTGAAGTGTCTGTTCATTTCTCTAGCCCATTTCTTGACTGGGTCTCTAATTTTAGATGGTTTAATTTTTTTTTTAGTTCTTTATATCGTCTAGATATTAGACCTTTGTCTGAAGAGTAGCTGGCAAACATTTTTTCCTGTTCTGTAGATTGTCTCTTTACTGATTGAATCTTTTGCTGTACAGAAACTTTTTAGTCTGATATATCCCATTTGCTAATTCTTGCTGCTATTTCCTGTGCAATTGAGGTTCTGTTTAGAAAATCCTTTCCAACTCCTATGTTTTCAAGTGTTTTACCTATTTTATCTTCTAGGAGAGTTAATGTTTCTGTTTTAATGTTTATATCTTTGATCCATTTTAATTTTAATTCAGTATATGATGAGATATAAGGGTTCAATTTAATTCTTCTACAAGCAGATAATCAGTTTTCCCAGAACCACTGGAATTGGTCATCTTTCCTTCAATGTATGCTTTAACACGCTTTGTCAAAGATCAAATAGTTGAATATGCTTGGAGATATTTGATGACAATGATTATACAATTCGACAAAACATTTGGATACTTCAAAAGCAGTTGTAAGAGGAAAATTTATTGCAATTAATGTGCACATTAGGAAAACAGAGCAAGCCCAAATATGGAGATATTTGATGACAATGATTATACAATTCGACAAAACATTTGGATACTTCAAAAGCAGTTGAAGAGGAAAATTTATTGCAATTAATGTGCACATTAGGAAAACAGAGCAAGCCCAAATAAAAAACCTTATTTAGAAATCTTAAGATACTTGAAAAACAACAACAAACCTGTTCCAAACTGAAACTAAGGACAGAAATTATAAAGATGATGGCAGAAATTAATGAAATTGAGCTTAAAAAATAATAAAACAAATCAACAGAGCAAAGAGCTGGTTCTTTGAAAGAATAAATAAAATATACACGTTCTTAGCAAGATTCATCAGGAGAAAGAGAAAAGACTCACATAAATGTAATTAGAAATGACAAAGGTAAAATCCCAACAGACACGGTCGAAATCCAAAATTGTAATTACTTTGAAAATTTATATTCCACCAGGCATGATGGTGTATGCCTGTAATCCCAGAACTTGGGAGGCTAAGGCAGGAGGATCGCTGTGAGCTCGAGACCAGCCTGGGCTACATAGTGAGTTCCAGGTCAGTCTCAACTACATAGTGAGACCCTGTCTCAAAAAACAAACAAAACAAAACAAAACAAAATCCAAAAATTATATTCTAACAAATTACCATATTTTAAAGAAATGGATAGATTCCTAGACACATATAAACTACCAAAAGTAACCCAAGAAGACAAAGATATACTTAAAAATCCAATCAAAAGCAATGAAATTGACTCATTAATAAAGAATCTGCCAACTAAAAAAAGCCCAGGACCTGATGGATTTATGGTCAAATTCTAACAAAACCTTTAAGTATAATACCAATACTCCTCAAGCTATTCAAAGAAACTGAAAGGGATGGAGTGCTTCAAAATTCAGCAGGTAAGCCATTATCAATCACCCTGATCCCCAAACTGGATAAAGACTCAACTAAAAGAAAAAAAAAACAAACAACAACAACAACAACACACACACACACACACACACACACACACACACACACGAAACTATAGGCCAGTCTCTTTAATGAACATAGAGGCAAAATTCTTTAATAAGATATTAGTAAATAAAATGCAGTATATTATCAAAAAGCTGATACACCATGATCAGGTAGGTTTCATCCCAGAGATACAAGGATGGTTCAACATACAAAAGTCTATAAATGTAATACATCATATAAACAGGAGCAAGGTCAAAAGCCACACGATCATATCAATAGCTGCATAAAAAGCTTTCAACAAAATCTAACACCCTTTCATGATAAAAACAAAAAACTTTCAAGAAAATAAGTATAGAAAGACCATACCTGAATATGATAAAATCTACATATCTATGACAAGCCAATTTCTAGTATCATACTAAATGGAGAAAAATTGAAAGCATTCACCCTAAAATCAGAAACAAGGCAAGGATGTCCACTATTACCTCTGCTATTCAGCATAGTACTCAAAACATTAGCCAGAGTAATTAGGCAAAACAAAGATATAAAAGGGATACATATAGGAAAGGAACAACTCAGGTTATCATTATTTGCAGATGACGTGACACTCTACATGGAACACTCAAAGAACTCCACCAAAAAACTCTTAGAATTAATAGCCAATTTTAGCAAAGTAGCAGGATACAAGATCAACACACAAAAATCATTAGCATTTGTGTACACCAACAATAAATAGGATGAGAAGGGAATTATGAAAACAAAACCATACACAGTTGCTTCAAGAAAAATAAAATACTTAGGAATTAACCTGAACAGAGAAGTGAAAGACTTCTACAAAGAAAACTACAGTACTCTGAAGGAGACTGAACGAAAAAATGTCCCTTGCTCCTGCATAGGCAGAACCAATATTGTCCAAATGGCCATACTTCCAAAACTGCTGTACAGATTCAATGCATTTCCAATCAAAATACCAAAAGCATACTTTTTATATCTAGAGAAAACAATCCTAAAATTCATGTGAAACCAGAGGAGACCCCAAATAGCAAAAGTAATTTTCGGCAACAAGAGCAAAGCAGATGACATAGCAATATCAGACTTCAAGCTGTACTACAAAGCAATAGTGATGAAAATGGCATGGGATTAGAACACAAACAGACATGTGGATCAATGTTATCCCTTTTATATATAAAGAAATTGACATTCAGAGTGATTAAATAACTTGTTGAAGTTCAAAGAGCTGTTGAGCAGACCGGTCAGAAAATGAGTCAAGGTTTCACTAAACTTAAAATCTCCCTTTTTTCATAACTCAGCCTGAATATAAGGACTTGAAGGTAGAGGAACATAGGTGGTTATCTAAGATTAAAACAGGCTACCTTCTCTAAAATAAAGAAGCTCTAACCCTAAAGCTCTCTAAACATTTATCCTAAAAGGAGGCCAATGTGCTCTAGCCAATAGATTTGGGAGCACAAAATACTAAGCTGGGTATGGTGGTGTGTACATGCCCATAATCTCAGCAGTCTGAGAGGCCAAGGAAGGAAGATCAAAAGCTTGAGCCCAGCCCGGGCAACTTAATGACTTACTGAGACCCTGTATCAAAGTCTTAGGGATGTAACTCAATGCAAATGCCTTGGTTCTAATACCCAGTAAAACACACTCACACACACTCACACACACACACACACACACACTTTTAGAAAAGATATACTTGTGGACTCATCCATATGACCCATTAAGAGCAAAGAAACACATAATCTGAGGGTTCCATCTGAGTCAGTGAAATGTATATTTAAAAACATCTCAACTCCTCGGTAGAGCAAAGGTGGCCTTTAGGAAGTTGTCTTTATCCCAGCACACTGTTGTTACCTTGATTCTCACAGAAAATATCTTGTATTCTCTACATATTTCAGATCTTTTCCTTACTACTGTTTCCCTTTCCATATGGTCAGCAGTTTGAGGAAGGAGAAATCCTTTGAGCCAAAACTGAGTGGTTTGGGCATTGCAGAAATTTGCAGCCACAGCTAAACCCGATAACTTGATGTTAGCTGATCATTGTATCTCTAGTGCATACATATTTCTGGTACTCAGTAGCTGCCAGGCATGGGGTTACCAGATGGCTTAGGCCACATGAGGATAACCCCCCAGGTCTGAGCTTAGGACAGTACAGATCCTCTCCACCCACCAGCAATGGGGTATCACACTTACTTCTGCTTTTTTCTGCTTTTCTTCTTGTTCTCTCTGCTCCTTCTCCATACCAACCAGCTTCAGCTTCAGCTCAGACACTTCAGTCATTAGATCGAGCTTCTGGGTTTCAAGAGATGTACGACTTAACAGCTCCTGCAAGCAAAAACAGATTTCAAAATCACAAACCACCATAGAAATAAGGGCATCTCTAGCTCCACCTATGGCACGGACAGCCATATCTAAGGTTGTGTTTTGCATAACACAGAACTTCCAGTGCTGCACATGAGCCACAGGTCTATCAGAGATGGGCCTGGGTTGACATTGGGTCACTTGGGGATAACACAGCCCTTGGTATCCCCCAATGTGCCTTGAAAGACAATGTGATCTACATTTTTCAAAACCATCTTTCCCCACAGAAGCTATTTTTAATTATTTCCAAACAGAGAAAAATGGATGAATACCCTTTCAAAAATCCAACTTTGTTTGTCCATCTCTACTTTTAAGGTGAAGCAGCGGGTCTTCTCTATCAGAACAAACAAAAACATATTAACAGTATATTTCTTAAAACCAAAACTTCTAGATCATGTCTTGGGCAAAATCAGTGCTCAGCCCAGTCTTCAGCATTATAATTCACCTCCTTATAGTGAATGGGGGTTAGAAAATATAGTGGGTATTCAGTGAGTATTTATTGGGTTGATTATATGACCCTTAGTATGTGAGCTGGCTCTTTTCTGAGCTGTAACAAAACTACAATTTGGCAGCTGTAGGATGGAACTGAAAAGGTCTTTCTTTCCTGATTGTGAAGCAAGACCAAGGAAGTTATTACTCATCCTGCCTTCATTACAATATTGGCTGACTACAACCTGATACTTCAGGTTCTTGACAACAAATCTATCACACACACATACTTACTAAACACAGCAAGAGAATTATAGAAGACCTCAAAAACCAGAAGCATTTAACAAATTACAGGGAAATATATTTTTTCCATTAGTAAATGGCAATATCATGTGATGGGCAAAAACCTGTAGCAAGAAAAATGTACATGGCAACAAGGAGAATGACAAGACCAAAGGAAAGGATGAAAGGGCACAATATCCTGAGCATTTTGTATCATCTTGGGCAATGCAACCTTGGTATCAGAATAGTGATCTCAAGATTCTGACTCAATAACTCTAATTTCATTAATTTAGAATTGTCCTCAGATGAATCAAACCACCAAGGACAGAGAGTTTGATTTAGAACACATGATTCTCCAGGCCAAAGGCAATCAGCATCTGGGAGAACTGGGCCACAAACAGTGCACATGTTAATCTTAGAGGATAGGAATCTAGAACTTCAGCATCTTGGAAGAGGGAGCTTCCTGAAGCTGGGTGGAGGAGGATGGCCCTTCCTGGGCCAGCCAGGCTAGAAGCTGGCTGATAGGGCCGAGGCAGTAACACCATACTGCTAAGACTGTGGGCTACTTGGCCATAAGGAGTCAGGCAAATGAACATGTCCAATATAATGGAGTGCTTGGATTTGTTGACTGTCTTCTTGGCTCCAGACACTGTTGGGTCCTTTTACATATATCATCTTCTTAATAAACCATCCCAAGGACTTGGCAGGAATATTAAGAGTCCTCTACAGATGAGGAAACAGGCCTAGAGAGGCTAAACAGATCTTTTTGCCAAGAACTAATGCTAATCATGAACAGAGTTAGTTTTCAAACCAAGATGTTTGACTCCAGAACTCATTTCTTTCTAAAGTATTATACTGTTTCCCAAATGAGAAAAAATAAAAAAAAAAAAAAAAAAAAAAAAAAAAAAAAAAAACTTCCAAGAATTTTAAGGGAAAGATTTTTTAAATACATGTCTTCAAAAGGTAATCAATGTTCACTGAGCCTAGAAAATGTCTTTTCAGATCGTGGCCCAGTTCATCCCTAGGGATTAGGGCTCATAGAAATGGTAAGTTCCATTGATCTTAAGTATTTAAAAACTTCTTAAAATACAATCTTCCCCCAATACAACCTATTTTAGCCTCTTCTGCATTCTCTTCACCCACATCATTCTCTGTATTTCTCCATTCCTTTACCTACCAACCTTGTTCCCAAAATGATTTAAACCAGTTTGCAAAATAGGTGTTTCCAGTTAAAAAATAAATCACAAAAATTAAAGCAAGTAGGAAGAAAAGTTGAAATCAGAATTACAGTTACAGAAAACCCACACCATAAAGTACTGTGAACATCTAGAAATGAAGTACAGTGTATATGAGAGCTTCCTATCTGCCAGTGCAAAGAGGAAAAGGAACAACTGTACAAATTAAAATCCACAAAAACTACAGAGTCCTAAGAAAAATAATTCCTCTGTGACCTTCATTCATGCATATTCCAGCACCAAGGGGTGTGACCAGTAAAAACACAGCCCCCGTTGACAACTTGAGTGTCTCAGGGTGATACTCATGCAGTTTACAGATTAGCATTCAAGGTACTGCTTGGAGGAATTTAGGAAATGCTCAGAATGTATCTCTCTTGAAAACTAACAGTCTACTCTACTTCCACTATTGTCAAAAATCCCTCTTGCTGTTTTAACTACCAGGTTGTGAGTGGCCATTCCAATGTTCCAAGTGATGAGATAATATTGTAATTGGTTCCAATAACTATTTCCATTAGTCAGGCCAGTGCTTAAATTGGTCACGCTAACAGTGAGAGTGGTCATTCCGGTTAGACACACTGACGTTTTAATTAGAAATCTGAGCTTGATTAATTTATTATAGTTCACTAATCATATAGGTTTCACTCACTCCCTTCCCGCTTATATCTATTAGCGCATGCCTCTACAATTTCATGATCATCTCCCCTGTCCTTGTCATGAACAGTTACCGTTCTGGTCTGTGAACTCAAGAATAGGCCTTCAAAAGCTTCCTTCAATCCACTCCACTTCCAAACCACCAGACCCAGCAAGGCTCCTAGGTACTACTACATACTGGGATTTCTAAAATGCATAACTTAATAGAAACTAAATATCCTACATCCTCAACTGCTCCTTCTCCTTCCAGCATAAACTGACTCCTGGATGCTACACAGTGTAACCCATTCTGTCCAGTCATTTTGAGTGGAGAACACTTTGCTCCCAACAACATAACTTGTAGGATACCTCTCTCCCTTCTTCATGACAGCTTTTCAACCACCATTTGCCTCCATTGATCATCCATGTCTCTACCCTTCACTGGCTGTAAGGCAGCAAGTGCTATTCAGTTGTATCACAATCTCCCCAAATATCTAGAACAAGACAATCTCCCACTTCCCTGGGGGCATCTGCCTTTTGATCAATAGCTTTTCTACGTACTTTACGCGCTTTCCGCCTCCTCAGGAGCTTCAACATCTTTGTTAATGACTTCAGAGTTCAGAGTCCACCCATTAACTATTCCGCTTCACGTTGAGGTTGACTTCAGTTCCCACAGGCTTTGCTTCTACTTCCTTTCAGCTTCTCAGCAGCACAGCCACAACTCAGCTCTTTATCTTTACCCAGGATATGTTTGTTCTGTTTTAAGATCTTCAGCTCTGAAATTCTTTCCTCTGGCCACAAACTTCTGACCTTGCAACTGCCCTACTTGCTCACTCAACCTCAAATTTCTTCTTCTGCGGTCTCTGGTTACTTAATAACTACCTGTTTTCCTGGTTTATCACCTTTCCCAAGCAATACCTGCCTCCCTATCTCCCCGTACCTTGAGGTTAGTCATTTCAATTGTATTCCTATCTACACCAAAAATTCTTCATCGTCCAGCTCGCCCAGCCCCCAGATCTGATCAGCATTTGTCTAAAGAGCCTACTTCAGACAAATCTCATGGTCTTTTGCTTAGGTTTCTTCTCTCCAGGGCCTGAGAGTTGCTAATGAAACACCTAATAATGACAATTGATTTCAACACAAATTCACACTATTTGATTATAGCCAATCTTCCAATCCGGCCCTGCAAAAGTTGTTTTCATCACTGGCTGTTTCCCTTCAGAGATTGTTCCAAATCTCTTATGTTCTCCTCAAGCCCTATATCCCACAATGGCCTCATTTTCTTCTCAAATAACCTCTCCTCATATTTACTGAAAAGATAAAAGCCCATAGATCATTTATTGAACTTAAATTCTGTTTCAAAGTCTTCCAGAATCATCTCATTCATATCTCTTAAATCTCTGTCTTAGAGAAAGCAAGTGCACAGTCCCTTTCCAAGGCTAATCTGTCACTTTGCACATTACCATCAGCTCTGTTTAACTGTTTCACTTTTAAGAACTGTTCCCTGGCCCAGCAAGCTTCCAAAATGCTCATAAAAAGCATACAGAAAAGGATACATCCTTCCAGAACTTGTTCTTAAATTGCCCCAACTGACTGACCTTCCTGTTTCTGGCTATTTCTGTCTCTGGACTCTTCGCATTTTCACACAACTTGATGAATCCTAAAGTTACCTTCATTGGCAAGCAGTAGTAGCCTTTGACTTTGTCCTCTGAATTCTGATCCTATTTTTCCCTTAGCTGTAACTCAGAAGGACTCCCCTGCACAGAGCCCTAGCCTCCCTCTCACCTCTGTACCGCCTTTGAGGAAATTCCCACTCAGCTCTGTGTCAGTTCAGGGTAGGACCATCAATCATGTGTTCTGACAGGTATTTAATCTCTCCCTCATCATCAGCTCCTGTTCCTCGGGCTAGAAACATAATCAAATTTCTGACATTCTGAAGAGACTTCTTTCTTGACCTTGTCTGCCTTTCAAATTACCACCGTCAACTCCCATGTCCTCTGTTGGTGAGAGCATGCTGTGTGTGTGTGTGTGTGTGTGTGTGTGTGTGTGTGTGTGTGTAAATTTCTGTTTTTGTCCCTTCTCCCCCGCTTCACAGCCAATCTCCTACAGGAACAGTCCACCCATAGTGCCTCTTCTTCCTGTTACCCCTTAACAAGAAATCTGCCTGTCTGCAACCTGGCTTCTGCCTCCAAGTAAGGCACAGAAATAGCTTCTGGAAGTTAATGTCCAAACTTTCCGGGGCAATTTATACTTTTCCTCTGTTAACTAACTCTATTTCATTGACTTAATGTAAGCTTCTCCTTAGGTATCTTCCCTGGTTCAGGTATTACTGAGATTTTTTTTTTTTTCCTCTCCATCTCCTTTGCTCTGCCTTTATTCTTTCTACCC